GTGCAGTGGATATGTTTCTAAAATTAACCTAAAAGTTAAGGAATAACAACTGATTCAACTAGTTAATGTTTCAGTGATGCAAAACAATAAAATTCAATGGTTAATACATTATTTGTTGGGAGAATTTCAAAAATACTATTTTTGGTGTGTCAATTCTAAAAAATTACAATTTTTGTGTGTCAATTTTAAAAATGCCACTATGAATTGTCCATTTTAGAAAATGCCACTTATTTTCGACCAAAAAAAATGTCACTTATTAATGATTTTTAAACCATGAACTCTAGAATCGTAAATTTTAAAAAGGGTTTGATCCCTACCAAACCCTATATCGTAAAACAATGGTGTTGGGAGCTATTTTATTATTTTCCTTCTGATAAAGATATTGTTACATGTTTAGCGAGCAAAATGTTTATGTATTTGACTCTAGATTCGACGAAAGTATTACTTAAAAGATAAGTACTTGGAATATCTTCTCTGTTTCTATTTCTGTTTCTTCTAATCTGTAGTAAATGGAGTAAACATATATATTGCTGTTAAAAACTTAAATTCAAAGAATATGCTGTGTTGTATAATCATTTAGTTAGGTCTACAAAAGTGACGATGAGTATAAGTATTTGATTGATGAGTAGTGAGTGATTAAAAAATAAAATGCTAAAAATAGCCGTTTGATTCTTAATGTCCACCTCATGCTTGGAGTCTGAAACGTTTTTTAATTGCTTGTGTGGTTGGGAGAGAGAGAAAGGAGAACGTAAAAGAAGGAAAGCACGAAAACAACACAAAAGGATTTGGTTGGTTTGCTTTTAAAATGCCAAATGACAGACGCATACGGGTAAGAAGGCGTGACTCCCTCTCCTCCCCTCCCCCTTTTTGAGCTCTCTATTTAATAATATCACTTCACTCCAAATCTCATCGATCGCCTCGCATTTTAATTGATCGATGGAGGGATCATCGTCTAAAAGCCATAAACGCAAGAACAAGGACGAGCAGATCAAGAAGAACAAAAAGAGAAATGTGATCAACGTGAATCCTGAGGATAACAAGATAGGCGAGAAGATATCAAACGGAAGTAATGAGAATTGTGGGCGTGAGAGTTTTGGAGTGTTTGAGTTCCCTTGGATGGAGGAAAGCATGATCTCAACCTCTCTTGATTGGAGTTTACCGGGATCTCTTTTTCCCCTCGTCGATGATGGCAATCAGATATTTGAAGATAATAGTGAAGTGAGATGGCCAGTGAAAAGGGATTGTAATGATAGGTTGGAGTTCGAGGCATTTGAATGCATTTGGACTTTTATTTCGGATTAGATTATTGAAAAGTTTGTTAGCATTCTACTTACAATTGCATTGAGACTGATTCTTGGGACCAAGCTTTTTTTATTTTTATTTTTATACCTTTTCTGTTCGTGGAGATACAAAAGAGAGTACAAGGGAATGAATAGGATAACTGAATAAGTAACAAGATTATATGGTAGTGGATACATGCATTTCTTTAAGCAAAAACAATAAAACAGCATTTCTTAATTATACAATACTTGTTGGTTTTAAACATTTTTATTGCGATTAGTCGTTTAAGTTCATCAATTTCAGAGCTACGTGTGGCATCTTTCCATGGCTAACCTCGAGCATAGCAGAGGACCCTAAAAGCTTTTAAAGCTTTTATGTAATATACGTATATAGGAGAAGACGAAGAAGAAAATACGTATATATGTATAGCTAATCAAATGTTATATAGGAATTGAATCACATCCCTTAATTATAGTTATGCATTAGCTTTCCCCATCCCCTCTCAAGTAACCATGCATGTTTTGAATAACCAATTTGAATAGAAATGTCTCGAAGTCTTGACTACCCACCGCTTTGGTGTATTTGCCAACGAGTTGTGCATGAGAAGCATCATGAGAGAAGTATATAGTATGGTTACCAATTTATTGGTGGTCAGTCTTTGTTGATCTGTAATGCAGGGTTTGAAGATGGTCACAAAGAACCACATCAAAGAAGGCTGCATGGTTAAGGCGGCTGGTGAGTGGCTCGGTAGATGTGTTCTTCTTCTTCTCTCCCTAGGTGGTCGGCTCCTGCTTGGCTCGTTGGATGAGCCACCGACCAATGATTTACTCGACTGATGGCGTCTCGTCCGTTCTTTTCTTATATCATTCTCCTTTGTTGCTTTCTTGTTTTTTCGGTATCCTTTGTCTAAAACATGTTCCAAATACCTAGATGAGGACTCAAATAGAACAAAAAGAAACATATATGCATACTCTAATTAAGACTCTAAAATACAAAAACTAGCCAAAATTCAAAGAATGTATGCAAAATGTAAGGTGAAGCCATAAATAAATAATTAAAACGGAGGGTCAAAATCATGTAAATATGAACATACCAGTTTTCTTCGGAGGGTTTAAGTGCAGATAATCTTGAGGTGTTCAATCCCGTTAGGACCATTCCTCCAGGTGACGCCACCGTCGTGTGTGTTTGCCCCACTTGTAGCATTCACCTTAGACATTATGATCACATGGTTTAAAGCATTTTGTCCTTGTTCTCGCATTACAAACAAGCGTATCTTTGTCATGGTATGAGCTAAAATGGTTAATTTGAGGTCATGCCATCGCTTAACTTAGTGGTAAAACCCGAGGCCATGTCAAGTAGACTTTGTAGGAGCTTCTCTCCATGGCTTCTTGAGATGATGAGTCTGCCATTTTGATCTCTTGGAAGTGGTGTTAGACTTGTCTTTTCTTAACAGACATCGTCTAATTGTTGGTATCAAATGGTCCACACTCACAATTTAGGAATAAATTTGGTGTAGTTTACC